TCTTTCTTTCTTTCTTTCTTTCTTTCTTTTGTTTTTGATTTTTTTCCAAGGCAGGGTTTATCTGTGTAACCCTGGCTGTCTTGGAACTCACTCTGTAGACCAGGTTGGCCTTGACCCCAGAGATCCGCCTGCTTCTGCTTCCTGAGTGCTGGGATTAAAGGCATGTGCCACCACCAGCCAGCGATGTATGTCTTTATCTATCTATCTATCTATCTATCTATCTATCTATCTATCTATCTATCTATTTATTTATTGAGCCGAGAGGACTGCCAGGCAATGCCGGACAGCACCTGTGTTTATTTCACAGCCAGCTTACATTCAGTCTTGAAAAACAGAGGTAGAGCAAGGCACAGCACAGGCATTCAGCCACTATCTATCCTGCCTTGTGTCAAGGAGCAGGCAGTCTAATTTTCTATCTCAATGTTCCTCCGGCTTGTGGCTGTTTGTCGTGGTATGCCTAGATTTGTGTCCGTTTATTTACATGTCCTTTTTAAAAGGGGGATTAAACTCAGAGCTTCTTACATGCTGGGTGAGTGCTTTACCAGTCAGCTGTAGTCCTTATAAAGACTCGGAGGACATTTTATCATGCATGAGTTTTGGTAAATTTCCTTTAAATCAGGAGCTAGACAACAAGGATGAGTAAAGCCAGTGCAATTGGAAAAGACCAGGACTTCAGAGGCCTGGGGACTGGGATGGAAGATAAAAGTGATGGTTGTTTACATAATAAACTCAAAAGAATGTACATAAAAGTCATTATAGACAGCGATCGAGTGCAGAACTGGACATAGTAAATGAGTGTCAGTTGCATCCTATGTACCAGTAAAAAACAATGAGAACATTCTCAGAGATGACACCATATGTGGTATTATTAGAGTATCACGTTAACAAAATCTAATCAGAGATGCATAAGATCTCCAGTAGAAGGACTGGAGAGAAGGTTTACTGATTAAATGTGCATACTGCTCTTACAGAGTATAAAAGTGGGTTCCTAGTACCCACATGGGATGGCTCAGAACTACTCTAGCTCCAAGGGATGTGATGCTGCCCTCTTCTGGCCTCTGTGAGCACCTACATACATGCATACATACCCACACATAGACACACATATAACTAAAAAACAAAACAAAGGTTGGGCATGGTATCTCACACCTTTGATCCCAGCACTCTGGAGGCAGAGGCAGGAGGATCTTTGTGAGTTCGAGGCCAGCCTGGTCTACAGAGTGAGTTTAGGGGTCTGATGGTAGTTTAGTTGGTAGCTTGCTCATCTAGCATTTAAAAAGGCTTGGGTTTGCTCTCCA